AGATAGAAAAGTGAAGGGGTCCAAGAACAAAGTCCTGGAGTACTCCAAAGTTAAGAGAATGGGGTGATGAGAAAGAACCAGTAATGGAGATAGAGAAGGAGTGACCAGTGAGGTGGAAGGAAAGGCAGAATGGGCTGACAGGCCTAGCAGAGGGAATGGAACTGACATGCTTTGGCTCTGTGTCCCCATCCGAATCTCATCTCAAATTGTAATCCCCCACCTCAAGGGAGGGACCCATAGTCCCCATATGTTGAGGGAGGGAGGTGATTGGATAATGGGGGCAGGTCCCCCCATGTTATTCTCATAATAGTGAGTTCTCAGAGATCTGATGGTTTTATAATCCTCTAGCATTTCCCCTGCTTGCACTTCTCTCTCCTGTGGCCTTGTGAAGAAGGTGCCTGCTTCCCCAATGCCTTCTATCATGATTGTAAGTATCCTGAGGCCTCCCCAGCCACGTGGTACTGTGAGTCAATTAAACCTCTTTCTTTTATAAATTACCCAATCTCAGGTATTTCTTTATAGCAGTGTGAGAATGAACTAACACATGCCCACTGGACCAAATGTTGCTGCTCATTCAATGAGGCCCGAGAAGCACGCATGGGGTCTAGCAATGTGGAGGTCACTGGGGACCTTAGCAGTAGCATTTTTAGCACCATGGTACAGGTGAGAGCCCGAAATAAGTGGGCTCAAGAGTAAATGAGAATAAAGGCTTTCACGTTTATTTAGCACCTGCCTCCCATCATTGACCAGGACAGGGTCCCTGTCTGATTTGTCACTGGTGTGTCCCCAGTGCCTACCATAGTGTGTGGCCCACAGTGGGTACTCAGGAAATATTTAAATTATTAAATGAATGAATGAATGAATGAATGATTCTTCCTCATCCTTCAGGTTTCAGCTCAGAAGTCACTTCCCCCAGAATACCATCCTTAGCCCAGAAATCCAGGTGACACACTTCTGTGCTCCTTTAGCTATTACTACTGAAATAGGATTGTTGCTTTGTCTTTCTCCCCATGAGATGGTCACTCCATGAGTTCACAGATTGTCTTGCTCATTGATATATATTCCCAGTGTCCCACAGAAGGCTTGACACACTGTATAAGGAAAGTGAGTTTCCTTAAGGGGTGGAGCTGAGTGTAGGGGACTATTAAAGAGGGGCTGGAAGACAGCCTCCTTTTGTTTAGCAAACTCATACTAAAGCCAAATATCATGTCTTTGTGAAAAGCTTCCCTGTTAGGGGTGGTGGTGTGTGTGTCTGCAGTCTCAGCAACTCAGGTGGCTGAGCCTGGATAACTGCTTGAGCCCAGGAGTTTGAGGCTGCAGTGAGCTATGATCATGCCATTGCTCTCCAGCCTGGGTGACAGAGTAAGAGTTTATCTCTAAAGATAAAAAATTAAAAAGCTTCCCTGGCTGGGCGTGGTGGCTCATGCCTGTAATCCCAGCACTTTGGGAGGCCAAAATGGGAAGATCACAAGGTCAGGAGATCGAGACCATTCTGGCCAACATTGTGAAACCTCACCTTTACTAAAATACAAAAAATTTGCTGGGTGTGGTGGTGAGTGCCTGTAGTCCCAGCTATTCAGTGGGGAGGCTGAGGCAGGGGAATCACTTGAACCTGGAAGGTGGGGATTGGAGTGAGCAGAGCTCGCACCAGTGCACTCCAGCCTGGCAACAGAGTGAGATCCTGTCTCAAAAAAAAAAAAAAAAAAAAAAAAGCTTCCCTGAGTCTACTTTCCTTGGGCCACATGTCTGGCACACGGGTAGGAGACAGATAACCAGTCAACTACTGTTGAATGATTAAGTGACCAATTGGCACATCAAGGTGCTGATCAAAAGAAGACATCCATGGGCAGAAGGCATTCGTGGGAGGAGATACTAAAGCAGGGGGATCTGCCAAGGGCACTGCAGGCAGAGGACATAAGGAGGTGACCTAGCAGCAAAGCATTATGCATGCCATATTGTGCCAAGATCACAACTGCACAGCTTGCACGATGCAGAGCACAGTGTATGGTGAGCCTCAGAAGTGAAGGGCAATGTGCAGCAGGCTTTCAGAGAGAGTGAGAGGCAGTTCTCAAGCAGGTTTCATTATTCAGAGGCTGTGAAGGCAGAGGGCAGGGTAGAGAGTGTTCACAGGTAGTGACCCACCAAGGCAGCTATGCAGGGAGAATCCCATGAAAACACATTCACAGCAAAGCACAGGGCCATAAAACAAGCCTCCACCAATTTAAAAAAGTTGAAGTTTGTCATCTGAGGGCTCTAGAAGAAAAGAAAAAAGAGAAAAAAAAAGAAAAGAGAAAAAGAAAAAAAAAGTTGAAGTTATGCAAAGTGTAATAACCTACCATAATGGAATGAAATTAGAAACTGATAACCAAAGGAAATTTTGGGAAACCACGTTAAGCAACAAACTCCAAAATAACAAGTGAATCAAATAAGAAGTCACAAGGGGAATTAGAAAACCTTTGAGATGAAAGGAAAGGAAAACACAACATGCAGCTAGAGCAGTGCTCAGAAAACAATTTCTAGCTGTAAATGCATACGTTCAAGAAGAAAGATCTTGGCCGGGCATGGTGGCTCACACCTGTAACCCTAGCACTTTGGAAAGTCAAGGTGGTAGGATTGATTGAGCCCAGGAGTTCTAGACCAGCCTGGGCAATATGGCCAAACCCCACCTCTACAAAAAAATCCAAAGAAAAAAATTAGGTGGTCATGGTGGCATGTGCCTATAATCCCAGCTACTAAGGAGGCTGAAGTGGCAGGATTACCTATGCCCAGGAGGTCAGGGCTGCAGTGAGCCATTATTGTGTCACTGCACTGCAGCCTGGGTAACAGAGATACACCCTGTCTCCCCAAAAAACAAAAAAGAAGAACAAAAGAAGGATCTCAAATCAATAAGCTAACTTTACACCTTAAAGGAACTAGAAAAAGAAGAGCAAACTAAATCCAAAGCAAGCAGAAAGGAAGAAATGATAAAGACTAAATAAGACATTAATGAAACAGAGATTAGAAAATTATAGGAAAAAAATCAATGAAATGATTAAAAAAAAGTCAGTGTTGTTCTTTGAAAACAATAAAATCAACAGACCTTAAGTAAGACTAACTAAGCAAAGCACACTATGGAAAGGGCACTTACAGTCAGAAGGCTTTATTGGCTGAGCCCTAGATGATGAAATAATTCAGCAGCAGATATCAGAAAGCAGAAGGCATCTGCAGGTAGAAGGCACTGTGCAAGGAGCCAGGAGCAGAAGGCATTCTGAGGCAGAGGACAATGGGAAGAAGGCATTTGCAGGCAGGTTTGAGACCTTTGCAGGCAGAAGATACTGTGCAGAGAAGTTTCACCAGAAGAATATGTTCTGGGGAGTAAAATCCACAGGCTGAAGACATTCATAAGCAAGGAGCAGTCCCCAGAGAACATGGAGATGCATGGGGAGGGGGCCATCACAGATACATGAACTGTCGACCAGCACCTGCAGAGGTCTCTCCTGCAGACCCTGACTTAACAACAGATGAATAAATGCACTCTCACACCTGGTTCAGTGATTCAAGTGGGCTAGGGATGGTCGTTGGCTGCTTTCCAAGGCCAACAGCTGCCAACTGACCAAGACCTCCTGTTTATCTACACATTTACTCAGTAAAGATTTCATAACAGAGGTTCTAAGTTAACATGTTTGTGGATAATTAACATGGTTAAAAGAGTGGTTTTACGAATGATAAAATCGTTAGGTTCCGGACCCAGAGTAAACACTATTAACAGGTAATTCCCCTTTGATCTCCCCCTGAGGGGGCCATCCAGCACAAAGTTTACATGAGTAAACAGAGTAGAGACAAAGAGATGTGAGGTAAACAGACTTAACCGGGCAAACCTCTTATCATCTCTCTTTCCTATGCTAATGTAATGGACCAGCCACCTTTGGCCTGCCCCAAAAAAACCTTTCGGCCTTCTAAAAGGTTTGAGACTAATCTATAACTTTCCTTAATATTTTGCTAATATTTTGCCAGCCACCCCGAGTGAATTCCAACAACAAACCCAGGACAGGAAGCAGGAGTCATGGTAACAGAGGAGGCCCAATACTAGCATTGACTTGCTGTTTCAAAATGACACTCCCCTATTTTTCCTTTAGGTCTTTGTGTCACACACTGTTACCAATTGAGAGTCCTACAAATATACCTAGTTAGGAGCTCCTGTTGCAGTCCTTGTCTTTTGAATCAGCAAAAGCTCTTCCTCCCCAGTGTAACAAGATGAAGTTCAAGGTTGGGGTGAAAAAATAGCTAGAAGAACACTAGTCCAATGGCCCCATGGTCCCTACTTAGTGGTGGAAGGAGTTCTCTGAGTATCATGTCTATCTTTGGACTTCCTGATCACCCTTTCCCGTCCCTGGGTTGAATCAAGACTTTGATGGCATGTAGATTATATTGGTATGCATCTAGAGGAATGAGTTGGGGTGTGTATTGGGGTCACCTTTGAGGAGGGCCTTGGAGAGATGTGTATTAAGAATTACTGTCAAGGAAGAGGTGGAGGGACTGGGAGTGTTTAAATGTGAGAAGAGTTGACCAAGACAGAATCTGAGAAGTATTTTCATCTATTATAGGGGCTGGCATCTAGCAGAGGGATTAAAGGCCACCAGTGGCTGACAAACAGAAATGGACTTTAACTCAACTGAAGAAGGCATCATCTAAACCCAAGGCTGTCCACAGACAGCAGGGGCTTGGAAGGAACTGAGCTCCTAGCCACTGGAGGTGTGCACTAATAGCTAGGTGGCTGTCTGTCTGCAGTGGTAATGATGAGGAGAATGGACCCCCCCCACAATACGGGATTCCTCATTAAGATTTGATGAGTCTAGAATTCCACACTTCCTGTGCATGCATAGTGTGTTGCTCTTGCTATTAAGTACTTGTTTACTTTTGTACAGAGAAATGGCTGCAGGAAATAGGAATAAAGAAATCACACAGCTGAATACACCAAGTTATTACACTTAAAAAGGAAACCTTGATGCTGACACATGTAGTATCTTACCATTTATTATAATTGTGTACATTATTGTGGATTAAGTATGATTAGAAACACTAAGCAATAAAAAAGAAGCAAAATGTAATGCAACCATCCCTATTCCTTAGATCTGCAAAATTCTGTGCCTTTTTAGACATGAAAGAAGCTGTTTTGGATCAAAATCAATAATGCTTTTGCAACAGTTCTTTCATTATCTTGCATGTTTGTTCTAAAACTCCCTTAAAGGCAGATTATACCTTGAAGTGAGGAAGCCAGCCTTTCTAGGGCCTCTTTACCTTGCATTCCATCCCCTGGGCCTGCAATAAGACTCAGGGATAGCACCTCTCACCAAGGGGGTGACATTTCTTTCCTTCACTCATTCATTGAGTAGCTGTGTGTTAGTGTACACCATGTGCCAAGTTTGATGCTGGGGACTACAGCTGAGGGAGAGCAGTTGGTATTTAGTGTGGGTACATGCTCTCCAGAGGAAAATCCAATGCAAATAAATGGAGTGTTCCTCTGTGATCATTTGCCAGGAAGAACAAGTCCACAAGCCAATGTGCATAGGGCTCAGAAGCTGGAGAAAGATGGAGACCTTTTATAATTAAATCAAGAGAAGACGCCCTCATTTTGTAACAGAAATATTCTAAGGTTGTTCTTCCTTTCAAGGAACTTACTAAGTGATGCTGGGCCCAAATGTGGCAGAGTCCAGCTGAACCTGAGCAGAGGGTCAGCTGACTACATGAACAGGCTTGTATCTGCCCAGCCATCCAACGAGTTTCCATGTCCCAAGTACCTGGGGCTCCAGCAGTTGTCAGTAGCTTGAGGCAGAGTCTTAACTGGAAAATGGGTCACTGAATGCTCTCTGCTCAGATCAGCTAGCCCCCTGGAGCTTTTCCTGGATTCACAAGCTCCTCTTTGGTAATATCTGTGAGCCAAATCTGTTCTCAGCTGAAAGCATCTCAGTTTGCAGGCATTTTCATGGGCAGAGGGGAGGGAAAGAGACAGCTTGGCCCTTGAAGTACTTCATGGAGGAGGGGTGGAGATCATTCAGGGATCCAGAATGCCCAAAGGCAGAGTGTGATTTCACACCTTCCGCTCTTAGGGAGGCCTGAAGGGAGGGTATAAACCTGGCAGGAACTATGTACCCCCTGCACAGTGCTTGGCACACACTCAGCACAAAATCAATGCTTGCTTTGGTGGGTGCTGCTCTGGTAAGAGCACGGGCTCTGTAGAGTTCTGCACAATGTAATGAACACCTCTACGAGTTCCAATATCCTCATCTCTAAGATGGGGATGGGAATGTCGCCTTCACGGGATTATTATGGGAACTAATGCCATCACTTTGTGATAGTGCCTGGTATGTGGTAGAGCCTCGAGAAATGTTAGCTGCTTTTCCCCTCCTTAATCCTGCTGGGATCTATACACCCTAAAACCCACCTGGGAGGATTTCTGTGTGAAGTTCAGGGAGCAGAATTGAAGGCAAGTTAATCAGCTATCAAGATTTCAACAGACACAGATATCACTTTGGTCAGTAGCCTCCTAAAATCACATCCTACTGAATTAAACCTAATCGTGTAAACTTTCCAATACATGCCAACATACCAGCAGGGGAAAACTCAAATATAGTGAAAGGTGGGTGGAAGACAAAATGAAACACTGCTATATAACCCAACAAAAGCAGCTAACTACTTTTTAAAGTGTATGGAAATTTTAAAAAAATAGATATGGCAAACAGACAAGCTAAACACTAGCCTATGCCAATCCCTAGCATTCAATGTCTGCAATTCACCCACAAGGGATCATCAATAGTCTTCAGCTTGGCCCCTCAGAAGCTTCAAGGGAGTCAGGACATACTGAACCCTATACTTCTGCTCACCTAAACTCATTAGAAAGCCAATCTGTCTTAGGGAAGGCAAGATGGAATTCTTGTTTGATCCTCTTTTGTTGAACCTAAAATGACATCATGGATGTAAAGTGCTTTCTAACCTATGAGAAGCTCCACACACAAGCAATTATCTAGCATCATTAAGATAAGACTTCAACTTGAGAAGGGCAAAAGCACGAAGAAATCAAACAGGGAAGGGGAGCCAGCAACTTGGGGCAAAACTGGGGACAGTCAAACTTGTCCGGGAGTCATCAGCTTCTGATCAGCCTGGGGTGGGGCTAAAAGAAAACAAGTAGCCATGAGACTGGAAACACATCAGCCAGAGGCCTCAGGGTGGGTGACTGCTTCAGTAATCAGGGGTTACTGCCTAGCTCAAGGTGATTTCTGGAGAGAAGGCCATCAGCATGGAGCTGGTTTAAAGCCTGGTTGCTATCAATCCCGATTACCTTCAGGGGATATATTCTGCTCTGTGCTCAGAAACTGTGCTAAATTCCACCAGCTATGAGAATGCAAACATGTCTTCAGGCAGTGCTCATAATGTGGCCCAGAGGCTTCTTTTACTGAGCACCATGGCTATGCAGTCCTGATCTGAAGTTATGCAAGCAATGGTGGAACGGAGAGCCCTGGACAAGAATCCAAAGACCTGGGGTGAGATCCTGATTCTACCTGGGTTTCTCCAGGCCCCCTTCCTTTCTACATCTTTATTTCCTTGTTGCAAAATGGGGCTAACAACAGTGGCCCAGCAAGCATCCCAGGAGAGCTAGAGGCCTTGGCTCAGGTGCTGGATGGAAGGTGTGATATGGAAGTGTCCTCACAGAGGGCCTTTGTCCATGCCACCTAATATGTCAAAGTACCAGAAGGCATAATAACATGAGGACACAGGGCCTCCTGAACATAAGGAAGAGCCAAGAAAGGCAGCAGTGTCTGGGGCTGAGATTCCAGGAGAGACCAGGACACATCTCTTCTCCTTAACTAGTCTCTTGGCCACTTGTCCTCTGCAGTGTCAGCACTCACCTAGAAGAGCTTCTCATAGCATTTCCCACAGTGAATGGTGTCATGGTGAATGAAGATTTGATCCAGGAGATCACCCATTGGTTTACTGCAAATCCCACACTGAAAGAGAAACCAATCTGGAGGTCAACACACAAAGCAAAGCAACAGTGAGTGGAGTGGGAAGGGGATGCCTGAGCAAGGTGGGCAAGCAGATGCTGTGAGCCCATGGTACATCCTGGACCTCCAAGAGGTCAAGAAAAAATTATGAAAAGGGATCACTTGTACACCAAGCCTCAGCGACATATAATTTACACATGCAACAAACCTGCACGTGTAACCCCAACCCTAAAATAAAAGGAGAACAATGATGAAAACCAGAAGTAAAACACAAACTCAAAAACAATACAAAAACAAAAAACTAAAAAACAAAAAAAGTCCCATAAAAACTAGCTGGCAGGATTATCATGTGGTGGTTAGGAGGTCAGGTTCAGAATTCAGCCTGGCTTTGAGTTGTGAGCCCCAGTTACTGAAACTCTCCCAGTCTCCGTTTCCTCATCTGTAAAGTGGGTGCACCAGCAGGATGGACTTCTCATGATTACTACAAGCATTCAGTGATGTAGTCCACAAAGAGCATGAAGCCTGGGGTCAGGCGTCAAGTAACTGTGCAGTAAGTGCCAGCGGTCATTGCTGTTGTAGCAGGGGTTGGACAATATTAAGCGTGACATTTAAGGAAGGTGATAGTACAGTCCCATAGAAAGGAAAGATATCTCAGCAGTCCAGCTCCTTCCTCCAATCTCATGACTTTCAAACTTGTCTGCCCAGGAATGCCTATGGAGGAGACAGCGCTCTCCAGGCCCCAGGCTGAGTCTTCTGCTCCAAGCTTTCACAGGTGCTGAGACAGGCAGAGAAGGGGTACTAGGATCCTCCAAGCCCCTTTGCTCATTCTAACCAAGCACCTTTCTGATGGCAATGAGGCTATTTCGATTTCTCAATTCCCTCCTCCTGGCAGTTTGGTTCACTATAAATTAATTAGCCCTCTGATTTATGTATTATGCTTCTCTCATTACAGTTATTGTGAACCATTATAGTACTTTGAACCTCAACTTTGCCGACTGATGATTCCAATCCATTTAAGGAGTCACCTCTGAGTGCACAGAAAAAAACAACAACCTGGGGTTACAAAGTGCTACACATCATGGAGAATGGGGACCCCAATGGCAATTACAATAAAATCCAAACTCTGTGCCCTCCAAGGCTTACATGATCTAGAGCACCCAGTCCCTCATGCCATTCTACCATGCAAGCTAGAACACTCTAGCGCTTCTGCCCCAGGTCCTTTGCACTTGCTGGCCCTCTGCCAGGAACAGTCTTTCCTGAAAAGACCTCTTGTGTCTCCCCAACAGTACTAAGCATGTGGAACCACCAACACACATCCACTCTCTTAGATTTGGAAGCTCATTCAGCTCCCAGTTGTGCAAAGCCTCTGTGACTGTGTACAATTGTATATGGAGATCAAATCTTCTCTGTATTGTCTGAACCCATAAGACTCCTGCACTCTACAAAACGTTCTTAGCAGCATGGCCCCACTTTCTTACCTTAAAGCAATATTCATGGCAGCAGATGCCAAGATGTTCTAGGGTAATCTTTGGGCAGTCTCGGATCTCATGGTTGCAGTAAGTACAGATCCCTCCAGTTGTCCTGTGAGATGAAGAACAATAATCTGGTGGTCAGGCTGGTGTAGACCTCTGATGTGACAAAGCCAGACCTTCTGGTTTTGTGCAACCAGGCCCAGCTTTGCTGCTAGGATCCCAGGCTGCAGTCTTTCTCTGTGGTGTGCAGCATAGCCCTGGGCCAGATCAGTTCTCAGTCTGGGCTGCAGACCTAGACTCACGAGGACTCTTGCACTGCTCTTATTCAAGGCTGTCTGCAGGCCACACTGCCCCAGTGCCAGGAGGGTCCCCTGCTGCAGACCTTTGCATTATTTCCAAAAATTAGTCATGTATCTTTTCCTGACTCACTACAGTATGTGTGGACACCTGATGTGGTACTTATTCCACACAGTTTGCCACCCTCTGACCTTCTGCTTAGAATATTTGCTAGAGGTCAGGTGCAGTGGCTCATGTGTATAATCCCAGCACTTTGAGAGGCCAAGGCGGGTGGCTCACAAGGTTAGGAGTTTGAGACCAGCCTGGCCAAAATGGTGAAACCCTGTCTCTACCAAAAATACAAAAAATAGCTGGGCATGGTAGTGGGTGCCTATAATCTCAGCTACTCAGGGGGCTGAGGCAGGAGAACTGTTTGAACCCGGGAGGCAGAGGTTGCAGTGAGCCAAGATTGTGCCACTGCACTCCAGCCTGGACAACAGGGTGAGACTCCAACTCAAAAAAAAAAAAAAAAAAAGGAGTATCTGCTGGGGCCTATTACCTTCTACAGCAAGAAGACCAATGCCTTCTCCTACAGGAGACATGTCATTGTGTGCCCTGCCTAGGCCCCTGTCTTGATGGCCCTTCTCCTCATGCCTGGGCCAACTGAACCCTGCCCCCACCTACACTGCTGGACCCACTCTGCCATGCTCTGTCTGTAGAGCCTACTCAGATCCTATGCTGAAGTTCTAGAGGTGAGCATCCTTACAGTTCTAGGATGCCTATTTTTGTTTCTGAGAGTCACCTCTGCTTTTCCTCCTCAGACAAGACTTGCTGAAAGTGACTGCTTGATCTGACCCTCCAGGCCATAATTTGAGGTACTTTCTTCCAGAGATTTGGGTCTGCTTCTGACAGGAGCCCAGAGCCGGGGGAGGCATTACCAATCTAGATTCACTTTAGCTCTGTCACAGGACCTAGAAGTGCCATGGGCAGGTTATTTGTGGTGTGCCATCTGGCTGCTGGCCCAGGGTTCACTCGGACAGCAGTACTGCTAACGGCCCCTGCACCAGCAGCCCACCAGCTCACAGTTGTTTTTCGTGCACGTGCATGTGTGTCTGTGCATACACATGTGTGCAACTGACTGAGATTGTCCTTAGAGAGTCCCCTTCCTTTCTCCAAGCCTAGCAATGGATCGGTAATGTCCGATTCTGGATTTAGTAGTTGTGCAATGGAAAGGAGGGTCCCTAGGGTATCTGGTCTGTCACTCCACTAGAAGTGGAGGCCTCATTCCATTCACTCCGATGTAGGTGGTTAGCTCCCAGGTTTCTGACCAACCTGCCCTTCTCTCCTAAGACTTCAAATGATGTGCCTCACCGAGTCATCTGTAGTTACCCAGAACCAGCTGCTTCTTCAGCTACAGTGGAGGGGATTCCCTAGCCCCATATGCTTGCCTGCCCCTGTATGTTTGCCCTTGAGGCCCAGCAAGATTCTCTTTATCTTAACCCTCTTTCTTCTTTCGTTTTCCTCACCAGTGTAGCTTTGGCCTCTGAATGTCATCCACAGGAATTTAGATCTATCAATGAGAAGCCAGATGGCAGAGTAGAAACATCCCTAACCTGGGAGTAGTCAGGGCCCTGGGGTTGAGTCCTGGGTCTGCCATATCCACTCACCGTGGACTGAAGGCCACTTATTCTGCCAGCTCTGTTTTCTTCACAGCAGCCTGAGTGAACTCAATCTCTGAGACTCTCTTCTCCCCATTCCAAGAAATTTAACATAGGATTTATTTGTCATTAAGATGGTCTGGTGACTGTGGCATCATCTAGTGACAGCTTTCACAACTGCTGAACGAGGTGCTCTCTGCCCTTGCTTTCAATTCGGTGGCTCCATAGCATGCAGCATGATGCCAGCAGCCCACTTTTCTTCACTCTCTGCCCACTACTGTCCTGTCTTTTGTAGTTATTTTATTTTGACTTCTGGTCAGATTTGCAAGTTAATTAAGTGATGGATTAGGTTCTAATCTGAAGGGCCTTTCCTGCTGACATGAGTCCCCTGGGCTGTCAGACACCACCACTTCCCTTCTCAGTCACCCTTGGCGTCTACCCTCTGGTCAATTCAAAGGCTTTAGTTGTCACAAGTGTGACATCCCAACAAGGGAAGCACCAGCCTATGTCCTTCATCTTTCTGCAAATGTAGAGGAGGCTGCAAAGCAGAAGACAAAAGCAAACAGGCTCAGCAGGAACTCTCCCTTCCCTGTTTCTTCTCTGTAGAACTGCAAGCTCCATGCTAAAAAAGTCAACATACCTCTCAGAGTATGGAGTTCTGACGTATGGGGGCTTCTTCTCTACGTCGAATGTGTCCTCAATGCTGCTGACACTACAGGGAGTGTGATGGGGGAGAGCCAAATCACTGTCATAGTTAATTTTCTCATTAACCTTTGGCCACAAGCTGAGACATAAGTACGCTGCCAATTGTCATCCATCACTTGGTGCCATAAAGGCCCTTCTATGCCGTGGGGGGCGGGGGTGGCAAAGGAGATCTTTCACAATGAGGGAGATGATCAGGGCTGGGTGGCTAGGATTCCTGTGGTTGTATATGCCAAGGTGCCCCAACTGACCAGTGGGAAAAGAGTAAAGTTTCTTTCCCGCCTATGTTATAATGTGACAGTCACCAGGAGCCCACTCAACAGAAATCAGATACTGGGAATGAGAAGAAGGAAGGGAATGTTCTGGCATAATACCTGTGCTTAAGTTATGGGTTGAAATTAGGAGGTACAGATGGGTTCAGGGTTTCTTTTGGGGGTGACAAAGGTGTTCTAGAATTGGATAGTGATGTTTGCATAACTCTGTGAATATACCAAAACTTTGGGACTGTACACTTTAAAGGGTGAATTATAACTCAATAAGCTATAAAGAAAAACCACCCTAAGGGGCTACAGATGGTGAAACCGAAGCTCATAGAGGTTGAACATCTTGTCCAAAATGATCCAAACAGGGGGCCTGAGCTGGGGTTTGAACTTGACATCCACAGCCATGCTCATCATTCCACAGCACCAGTGAAAGCCAGCTTAGAAGCCCTAGAGGCCCGATCCTGAAATAAGGCTAGGATGCTCCTCTCTGTTACTAAAATCCTCCAGTGATGTGATGTGTCATAAGAAACATTCCGAGGGACCTCATCTCAGTGTGGTAGGTGACAATACATGGAGATGACATGGAAGTACCCCTCCACATGGCATCAGGAAGCAAGCAGATGAAGAGATGATCAGTGGAAGGGGGAGGCTGAGGTGGGTGGATTGCTTGAGGTCAGGAGTTCGAGACCAGCCTGGCCAACAAGGTGAAACTCCATTTCTACTAAAATACAAAAATTAGCTGGTCATGGTGGTGGACACCTATAATCCCAGCTACTAGGGAAGGAGGCTGAGGCAGGAGAATTGCTTGAACCCAGGAGGAGGAGGTTGCAGTGCGCTGAGATGGCACAACTGCACTCCAGCCTAGGCAGCAGAGCAAGACTCCATCTCAAAACAAAAATAATGAGAATAAATACATAAGTAAATAAAATTAAAAAGCAAAGTCACACATGTATCAGGAACTGCAGTCACATGTGCATTAAAATGAGGTAGGCTGGCATGACAGAAAAGAACATGGGGCTCAAAAGAAGAGCTCTGTGATCTGCAAGGAAATAGGATGAACTAGTTGGTCCCCAGGGCTCTGCCAGCTCTGCCAAGAGGGATGCTCTCAGCATTTGACAAAACAAAATAACAAAGACAAGCAGAACAGGATGGCAGTGAAAATGGCGTGCAGGATGAAGTCACTGTAAGGGACAACCCAAAGGTGCCCAGGTAGGCTGAACACCTGAAAATCCATCAATCCCATCAGAGGGCCATTATATCACTCACCCACTCGACCATTACCAGAAGCTACTCTGAGTCAAGCCCTGGACAAGGACCTAGGAATGTAGGGATGAGAATATGGGAGCCAGCAGCAGAAGGCCAACGTGGAAGGGTTTGGGACTCACTCTTACCTGCTATAGCGTGTAGATGCTGGCTTCCCAGAAGACACTTCACTAGCATTCACATACTCCTTCACGAAGAGAATCCCTTTGCTGTAGAAGGAGCACAGCAGAAATCAGAGGGATATAAGAAGATTCCAGGGAACCAGGCCTGGCCCACAGGAGTGGTTTGGGGCTGGGGAAGTCCCAGCCTGGTTTGAAGGAAGTGAAACAGCTCATGGGAAGGCCCAGGACAGAGGCACTGGCATTGAAGTGGACTTGGGCTACAGTCCCAGCCCATGAGCGTTGCTCGTTGTGTTTGGACTGAGATTTACAGTAAGGGGCTTCCTGCAACCAATGGCAATGTGCAGACCTCGGCACGCCATCTTCTCCCCAGGCTTCAGTCCCGTGAGCTTTCCACCCCTACTTCAGGGCTGCGTAACCTTTACCCTCTACCCACAACCAAGATATCCCCCAAGCCTTAATTCTACGGTCAGTCTTCGCCACTCAGCAGCTCCCAGAAGGCACTCAGCTACTGTGCAGTTTCCATCTCACATCTAATTTCTCCCTTCTCTCTCCTGGAGTCCAGAGACCTAGAGGGTGCCTCATCCTGGACTGGTCTCTGCAGGACAGGAAATAAGATCTGCCTCATGCTGGGCTCAGCATGGCCCCAAATTTGCACCCCCCTTTTCATGCTGCACACTCCAGCCTGCTGACCTGACGTATGCAGAGGCCGCCTTAGATATGCTCCCCACCCCCAACACACACACCTCACTGAGCAGCGTTCCTGCAGGAACATCCCTTCCTGCACCCTGGCAGGTGGCCAGGGATGCAGGTGAAGCAGTGGGCATGTGAGAGAGACAGACAAAACTCATGTTGAACTGTGAGTCCCATTACTGGAGGTGGGGCTTGGAGGGAGGTGACAGGATCATGGGGGGTCCCTAATGAATGACCAGCATCATCCCCTTGGCGGTAAGTGAGATCTCACTTGGTTAGTTCACATGAGGTCTGCTTGTTGAAAAGTCCGGTCCTCCCCTTCCTCACTCTTGCTCTTGTGCATGCTCTGGGATGTGCCTGCTCCCACTTCACCTTCCACCATGATTAGAAGTTTCCCGAGGCCTTCACCAGAAGCCAAGCAGCTGCTGCTTGTGCCATGCTTGTGCAGCCTGCCGAACTGTGAGCCAGTTAAACCTCTTTTCTTTATAAATTACCAGACTCAGGTATTCCTTTACAGCAAGACACGAATGGCTTCACACAACCGGCCTTCACGGACTTGAGCTGGCTTCCCAGGCATGTTCCACAGTGACATCAGCAAATACTCATGGATGGCACAACCCACATCCACTAGAGCACTAGGAAGTACCACTGCAGCCTCTTGCAGGGATAGGAAAAAGGAAATGTGGGAACATCTAGGCCTGCAGATGGGCATTTATACTGGGGGACTAACACTGTCCTGGGTGGCCCCTTGCCTAATGGCCTTCTGGGAATTGGGGAAGCAACATGGAACAAAAGCCAAGTCCTTTACTGCCAAGGAGGAAGTGGGTAACCCCCATGCCCAGAGAACATCTCCCAGGTTGCTAGATAGCCCTTCTTACGTGGCGGAGCTGGAGTCCAATTCACTTGGTGGGGCTGGAATATAACTGTGAGGCTGCTCAGAAGTGGCAGTGACAGTAACGGTGACCATGCAGCTTGGGGGACTTCTCACCCTGAAAGAAAGAAAACGAGGGGTGGGGTGGACATGTCAACCCTGAGAGCTGACACCTTCCAGGGCCAAACAGGCTTTTCTGAGCCTAATCCTTGAGCACTGCTCTTGAAATTTCCTCTGAAATCAACAAATGGAACTTCTCACTTTACACATCAGAAAACCCAGGGCAGGGGAGTTGAGACCTATCCCAGGTCACATGGTGGGTTGGTAGCAGGACCCCAATCTCCCTGATTGCAGCCGAGCGCCCTGGCCCCTGTGACTCACTCAGTTAGAGTGGAATCATGGGCTGCCGAGGATGTGAGAGTCAGGAGGGAGCAGAAGGGGAAGACACCGCCTCACTGTATGGGATAGTCCCTTACTAGGATCAGCTTCTTCTGCCACCCTGCAGGGGACTCTCCAGAGAACACAAGGCCAAGGGGCAGAGGACCACATGAAACTAGGCATCACTGAGGAGGAGAGTCAGATGCACCTCATTCCCAACAGAGGCAGGAAACTGACAGCTGTCGAAACTTTTCTGAGTCTCCACACTTCAGCTGTCACAGATGGCCCTTGGCCTGGAACTCAGCCTCCTAGGCAGCCCAAAAATGCTTTTCTCTGGCTAAGCCCATACTGGCTCTCACTCTGCCTGACCCCAGGCTATGAGCCTCGTTACCAAAGCTTGAGGGCATGGTGTTGGGCAGCACCACCAACCACTTGTCTGCACCTTCCGACTTCAGTCTGCCCACCCTCCAGTGGCCTGCACTGGGCTCATTCTGGCTTCCTCCAACATACCACGGTTCACATCATACTCAGATATGGCTGCCTCCATCTGTCCCAGGCTATGGGGTATTGTCCCCTTGCCAGAGAATCCAATCCCCAAGATTTCAACTCGTTGAAGAGTGGGGAAGGGAAAGAACAATCACAGTCTAGCATCTGCCTAACTCTCCTGCCTCATAGGCTCCAACTAGATCATAGGCTCACACTAGTGCTACCCACGCAGAAGCCATACAGACCAGCCTGCAGTTCCCCTGAACTTGCCGAGCTCTCACATGCCTTTGCAGACAACATCAACTTCTCTTCTGGGAAGCCCTTCCTGAGGACCTGCCCTTCTACCTAACCTCAGTGTGCCCAATCATCGTGTGCCTGTTACTGGTTCAACCTATGACAAAGCAATGTGCCACAGAGACTGGGGGAGGGGGACTGGATGGGAGAGGAGGGCCCCACGAAAGCCTGAAAAACACATAGGGGATAAAATGCAGAGCCAACGAGTGGGAAGGGGATTGATTCTAAGAGGAAGGAAGGCAAGACCTCTTACTGACTGAACAATTACCAGGTATCTGGTATCCTGTGATTCATGACAGCAGAACACTGAAGGGGACAGAAGAACTGAAGGGGCAAGGTAAAACAGAAATCCCCTGGAGCTACTTGGGAGGCTGAGGCAGGAGGATCACTTGAGGCCAAGAGTTCAAAAACAACCTGGGTAACACAGTGAAACTCTGCCACTTAAAGAAAACCCCCTGGGGATGCCCCCAGGACTGCAATGTGAGCGACAGGAGCTCTCCCAATAGCCTTCTCTCCCTCACCTACAAGTGCCTACAGGGCCCAGCTCCTGCCCCCTGCTCACACTCACCCCTACCCTCCAAGCACAGGGCTCATTGCTCAGGCCTTCCTTCCGATCTTCCTTGTCCATGGTGCATCTCCCCAGGCTCTTTGGAAGGCAGGCTCCTCCAGATGTTTCAGGTCTCAGCTGGACTGTCTCCCCCTTGATAGAAAAGCTTTCCCTAAGCATCCTTGCTATCACACTCTGCCCTAACCCCTCTCCATCAGAGCACCTGGTTTCTTTCCTTCCTGGGCTTATCACAAATGGAGGAGCAGTATGGATGCCACAGCGATGGACAGTATAGGCTCTGAGCTCTGTCTGGATTCTAATCTCGGTTAGGCTACTTCCTGGCTGCATAACTGCTGGAAAGTTACTTAACCACCATCTGCTTCAGTTTCTCCATAATAAAAGTACCTCCTTCCTAGAGTTGGTGTGAGAATTCAATGAGTGAGTCCGCATGAAGCATGGAGAACAGTGCCTGCATGTTATCAGCACACAGCAGGAGCTATCGGTTATTACGATCGTGCTTATTCGTTAGTGGACTGTGTGCTCTTTGAGGCCGGGTGGATGGGGCCTTAGCCGTCATGTTCACTGTGTACATGGCTGCTCACAGGAAGCTTTTAGTGTGCAGCATCTCCAGCTGGCGGCCCATTGTGCCTGCTTATTCTCTAACTCATGGCCACTTTGGGAAAAGATCTCTGGGGAACAAAGGGAGCTCTCAACAGACACCTACACCTTTTTTCACCATCATCAACTGCAGCTCCAGGCAGTGATAACGGAAGGGCCTCTGGCCTCACACAAAAAAGGACCAGAGTGACACTGAGGCTGACTGCTGCCATGCATCCCATCTGTTAGGTCTGACAGACCAGAGCCAGGCTGAGAATGCAGGAGGTCAGCAAACACTTGCTTTGCTGAGTTCCTTGGCAACATGAAGCTAGCACAGCCCTCCCCTCACCCTGTTCCTGGAGCCACCCTTTCAAAGCAATGGACCATGGCAGGAGAGTGAAGGCAGGGCCGGAATACTTCATTGGCAGGGACAAGATGAGGAAAGACCAGAAGCTGGTCAAGGGAATGACCTGGAACTGAGAGACAGAGAGAGGATAGAGGTCGCAGCAAGGTTAGGGGTATGGGACAATAGCCACAAAATACCAGAAATAAGGACATCTTGAGAATGCAGCCACATGTCCTGCTGGTGCAAGAGCCAATGGGTGGGTTCCTAGTTACCCAAGCTGGATGTGAGCACCACACAGTTGTCATAGAGAGGGAGAGGAAGTTCACCTGGCAGGAATGGGGAAAATGTCATCAAATCATGGCATCCTCTCTTGCCCTCTAGGTCCTGCCCATGTTGCAATGGCTGTGAAGCCCTTCCTGAGGCCACACTGTTTCCAGTCTAACAACTCCAGCTTTCCGTGGATTTTTGCAAATGAGAATTGACAGAATGTTTCAGGGTGATATAAAATCTGATACTACATTGCCTGTAAAAACATTTTAAAAACTCAGTTATTTCCAAATGTGAAAAAATGCACCACAAGTCACCTAGGATTTCAAAATTGAGAAATCTCTTACAGCCACCAAAAACGTCATAATTTGGTGTGGACCCACACTGCTCTACAGAGGCCAGAAGTCAGGAAACTACCACTTAGGGACACCTGAGCTGCTCACAGAAAAGCACAAGTGTCTGGTGCGGTCTGTTCCCTACTACTTGGCTGCTCCTTGGTTCTTGGTCTCTCTCAGAAAATGCAGAGCCCTGTTTCCTCAGGCTACTGCTGCCAACTTCTTGCAACGAGTGAGCAACCCTGGGTCAGCACTGTGGAGCTGCATTACCACCCAAATCCATGGCCATCACACTGCTGACAGCAGTGGAAATGCTCATCCAACTGGTACAGTCGTTATTTCTGGCAGTGAATCCCATCCACACCGTGGCACACTTTGCTCAGCGAGCTTCCATCTCCGTGACTGGAAAAAGCAACCATATCCCTTTTCTGACTCAGCTATCCAGGCTCCAAATGGCGACCAGACAACATGGTTCTCTGTGCACCTTCTCTGTGCCAGGTTTAGTATAACAGATTTGATGTTATGGCTCCAAGCTGAAACCCATGAATATCTAACCCTGGGATGCTGCTTTCTCTGGTTTGCTTCCCTCCTAACCACACTCACCTGCAGAGGTAGCAGGCATGCCTAGTGTGTGGGGGTTTGTCCTGGGTTGCTGCCCTGGACAAAACCACTGGCTCTAGCAGGCAGGGGTCCAGTGCAGCTCGGCTCTTACCTGCTGGTGCAGGTCTCTTGTCTGACGAGTTGCTCAGATCCGCTGGGGCTGCTCTGCCGTTCTGGGGTGCTAGGTTCTGCTGGTTGCTGAGTGCGTACAGCTGGGTCTTCTTGACCACCTCCTGGGGCTCCAGGCATGTCCTGCCAGGCCTCTCCGACCTCGGTGGCCATATTCTTCACCTCATAATCAGCCAACACACTGCGGAAGAATAAGTATCCTTATGAAGCGAGTGCCCTGAAATTAGCCCTTGTTCGCACATGGCAGGTGGGCTGGCTGTCATGTCTTGTGGACTTGTAGGGACTCATCTCCCCAAGGGTGGGGCAGACAGGAACCAAGCACAACCGCAACCCCAAGGAGCAGGCAGTCTCCTCCTCAGCAGGACCCCAGCACTGCTGCTCCTTTCTGACAAGGACAAAGTCACCCGACGATTTCAATGAAGTATTAAAAGACATAGTCTCCTGGCTGGAAACACACTGCCATTCCTGTCCTGGTTTTCCCACTGCCATCTCTCCTTTCTCCAATCCTTTCCTGCCTCCCGCCCGTCTAGGAAGACCTAAACCATCCAGCCTTCTTCACTGACTATGGTTCTCAAGAACGGGGTGCTGGCTAGACTCATCAGGGGCCCAGCAATCTAAGGAGGGGCTTCTCCCCCAAGCTACCCTGGAGGGCTCGGTAGGAGCAAAAGTAGGGGAGTGGGTACGTGTTGTTCGCCAGATTCCCAATTCGCTGTTAAGCCCACAAACAGGGGGAAGGGCCGTGAGAACACACGATTTCTCGGGTAGGGCCCATAGAAGAATGCAAGCCCATTTGTGATCCTCGAGCGCCATCTCGCGGCAGGCACCGGGACTGCGACAGAAAAAAGCCTCACCAAGGTCGCCCAAAACCACCATTTTCTTTCTTATCTCATTTCGTGGCGGGTATCGTTGGCCGAGTCCGTAGCTGCAGGAAATGGCGGTGCGCGCAGGCGCACTCACGCCGGTCGCAGGCCGACCTGTGCACGCGCAATCTCAGCGAGTGTGTGCGCATCCGCCCACTTATTGTTGTGATGGCGTGTTTTTCACAGCTGGAACCTTCTTGTCTTCTTTATTGTGAAGTAGTTATAGCTATTACTACAAAGCAATAGCATTTTCATCTTTTTTATTTTAACAGATGAAAAAGTTGATGTAAGGGTTCAATTGCCACTAGTACATGGTAGTCAAAATGGAACTTCGTTGTTCCTTCTGCTAAGCTTACAGTATCTAAACTTAGTTTAAAATCTCTCAACTTAGTTACCCCCACCTCACCCCAGCTGCTTCTCTTCCCCTTCCAGCAGCCAAACTCCTTAGAAAGAGCTGTCTACAGTCAGTGTTGTCACCTTTTTCTTCCCTTCTTACCATCAACATTCCATGGAACCTATTAATTGCTTCTCAAACATCTGCACTGAATGACCTCCCTTTCCTACCTGTCTGGGACTGACATGTGGTGTTAAGGTGCAGCCCCCACACCATGGGACTCACCACGATACCTGAATAGTCTCTCTACCCTGTTCAACCAGAAAGTCTATTGATCACAAGCTTACATGTCCTGGCAATGTCAAAGTGCTACAAAAGTATAAACATTCTCAATTTCTGTACTTGTCTAAGGTAATAACAAATTGTTGATGGGGAGTTAGGATGTTTTAATCACAGGATCACTGTGCAGATCACACACTCTAGATGTTCTTGCGGCTAAGTCCAGTTAACTGGCATAGTTGGTGACTCTCCTTCTTTTACATTTTTCTTCCACAGCAGCACACTGGTTGGCCTCCTACCTCTCTGGCCACTGCCCACTCATCTGTTTCACAAGCTCCTCCTGATCTATCTTACCTCTTAATATGGGGTGCTCTTCTTGTATGTCTTCTTTTCTCACTTTATGCATGCCTCCACAACAATATTACCCATTCCCCTGGCTTCAGTTGCACTGACATACAGAGGACTCTCAAATACCTATTTTCAGTCAAGACCTCACCCCAAAGCTCCAGTTCCATTTCTCATTGTTAAAGCAAACTAAATATGACCTGAGAAGGACTCTGTACTTCTACATTTGAGTCCTTGTAGATGAAATGTAACCTAGCTTAACAGGCAGTTAAAATTGAAAAGCTAAGTTAGTATTATGTGCCTGTAACAATAGCTAAGTCTTGGCTAATCCCAGCAGCCATACTTCAACCATTCATACACTGCTGAGTGTTCAAATTGTTCAAATAAGGCATACACCAATCTGTAACCAATCCAGCCCTTCTGTACCTCACTTCAAACTTCTGTATGTCATTTCCATTTTTTTGGTCTATAAATCTTCCATCATGTGTCTGTGCTGCAGTCTGACTCTGCTGTGATTCTGGAAGCTGCCCAATTCTCAAATCATTCATAGCTCAATTTAAAAAAGCTGGTTTTTCTTTTATCAAATGGTGTCAGAAGTATGATCCAAAGTGGAGCTTCTACTGACCCCCCCCCCCCCCGAGGAGTGCTGACTGAACACACAAGGTACCTTCAGGACCCACTTGTGTCCATTGATCTCTCAAAGCAGCTGGTGGTCATGGGTAAGCTCCCTCTCAGATTTCAGAGCTCCAAGGATTTGTGTTTTGAGCAAACTCTCCAAGTTTCTTTGAGCAAATTTCTGATCCAAACTGGGTTTGGAAATTGTGACAGAAACTGGGCTAGGTCCAGGAATGCATTTCATCTGGGAATTAACTGGCTTGGATCCAGTTAGAGGCCTCTCACATCTGACTGGATCAGAAACGAACCAGTAGTAAGCAGTAATATTGCAGGGGTTATACAATTTGGCTTTTAAAAATTCACAGAGATTGTGTTCTACCCTTTAGTTTCATTTTTGTTGCATGCCTTGGTAGGAAAAATCATTGGCTAAGTTAATCAAGAGAACTTGAGAGTAAAGCCAATATACTTAATTTCTGGAAAACTGAGTTCTTACAGCTTATACATTAGGCCCTGGAGGCAGCAAAGTCTTATAGAAATGGTGAAATCTTACGGAAGATAACTTACAGTGGAATGTTCCAAATGAATGACAACACAATGAAGTGCATTTTAAAAAAATTCTTTTGTGTTGTGGCTTGGCCCCCAGGGTGATGGTACGGATAGCCAGATCACCTGGGCCACTCAGGGAAAGGGAACCCAGAATCCTGGCATGCCAGCAAAAGGGTAAGAATTTCTTACCAGTCCAATTTCAGGCTTTTCTCTCTCTCTGTGCAAACTGGTTGTATGAATGGTAAAAATCACTGTTTATCTCCTCTGTAAAATTTTAATTAATGCAAAAAAGAAGTCTGAGACTAGTCTTAAGCTGTAGTCAATCTGGTGTATTCTGCGTTATAAATTCATTTTTCTGTGTTGAGGGGTACTTTAGGATAAAACATGGGCTTAGGCCCGCATAAGCTCACTGCTCAAGATGGCCCAGCAAGCTGGTCAGTAACAAACTTTGCTGCAGGTCCCTGAAACAAACAAAAAACTGGATGAGGTCTCCATCTTGCTTTATGTCCTTGGGAGCTTGACCTTGTAACCATGTGGCAGTACTTTCTCCTTGTCTCCAGTTTCCAGGGAACAGGAATTTTAGGGTTCATATCATAGCTAGCACTAAAAATTACCTTGAGTAATTAAAGGCCTTTGCAAGCTCAAAATTAACTACTCTAGACTCCTTCTGAGCTCAGTAGTTAAGGTTTTGTTCTTTCACATTGGCAGTGCAGGTTCGATTCCTGGCTTAGGAAGTAAGTTCTTCCTGGTTTAATATCTGCATGACCTTGTCCATTCCCTTCTTCTCCATGGACTATCTTAAATTTTCCTTTCTCTGAGCACCTGGGATGTTACCTTTGATAAAGTTCAAAAGCCAGGAATATTGGGCATGTGGCCTGGCTGAAGTCGAGTAATAAAATATTTTAAAAGGACTTTATTAAAGAGTGTGATGGTTAAAAGCCAGAATAATTAAAAGCAGATAGTCAAGCTCTAACAGCCTGGACTCCTGGAAAAACAGGAGGCACCAGAGGCCTTTTCCTGACCTTGTTCTTCCAAGGACTCCACCCTAAAGCCGATAACCAATTGAGAAACTTAAAAACTGGCAAATGAAAAATCTTAAGGCTGGGCATGATGGCTCACATCTGTAATCCCAGCACTTTGGGAGGCTGAGGTGGGTGGATCACGAGGTCAGGAGTTTGAGACCAGCCTGACCAACATGGTGAAACCCTGTCTCTACTAAAAATACAAAAATTAGCCGGTGTGGTGGCAGGCACCTGTAATCCCAGCTACTCAGGAGGCTGAAGCAGTAGAATTGCTTGAACCTGGGAGGTGAAGGTTGCAGTGAGCTGAGACTATGCCATTGCACTCCAGCCTAGGCAACAAGAGTGAGACTCTGTCTCAAAAAAAAAGAGAAATCTTACAAGTACTGTGGTAATCTTCTGTCTATCTATGTAGTTATATATGTGTTGGGTGTAATATTTATATAAAAGAGCTCTAATTAATTGGCTTAAACAAAAATAAGCACTTAGGTCAAATTTTTTTTTTTAAACTGTAGTGCCTTTTAGTTCACATACTTTAGTAATTTTGGGGAAATAAAAATAGCTTTAAAAATTACTGGCAAAATAAAAATATTTGGTCTAAATTATGCAGGTCAGATATTAGGTTTGCTAAATGCTTTAAGGTCATAAACTGCTTTGACTTTTGAAAATTGCCCAGTTTATTTTGGGTCATTAGATCCTAGATGAGGCCCTGGGACATGTGGAATTAGCCAAGCTCCCTACCTATGCAAAGAAGGTTATAAAGAAAAGAAATTTTACATAAGAAAGGATCTTGTATGGTAAATTATTGTCCTAAAGTCAAATGACTAATTGTTTAAAAAGAGGGATGTTTAGGGCAAGTCAGAAAGTCCAAGAATGTCTTAGGTGGTCTGTATAAGTCATGAAATAATTTATAAAAGGGGATTTATGCAAAAAATATTGTACAATTTAAAGGTGTTTAGGACTCCTGAATGCTTCATAAAATGTTACTATAACTCTTAACTGTACAACCTGTCTGATTTACAGTTAGGTAAGGTCTGAGAGACATGGAGTGAGAAGCTGGAAAGAGTCAGACCTTATCTGCATTTCTGTCTGGGTCCTAGGCTCCACTACGCACACAATTAAAATCCTGAACTTATCAAGGTTTTTACCAAAAGCAAAAGTCCGTAAAAGTTAACACTGTAAC